CTTGCTGCCCTGCTTGGTGTCTAGCTGGGGTATCAGCAGAATGTGATTAATGTGCTTTCACAGTTTGATTTCTAGGGACAGCTGGTTACCTTGTGTAAAAGCTGTTTTCACATCTGTGGATTGCAGGGCAAACCTACTTTTGATGTTAAGTCACTTAAGTATTTTTCTCTTTTCTACCTTAGTTTTATACCTGGATATTTTTGTTACTATCTCCTTTACATCCTGCTTCTTCATGATCTTGATAAGATGGTACAGATGGTTGGCATTTTCTTCTGTGCAGAGGGATCCACCCAGCAATTGCTTTTTGTGTGTTGTGTGAGTTTATACACAAACAAGTCCCCAGGGCTTAGAGGCTTGCAGGTCAGTGTTTCCTGTAGCTGTGTTTGAAGTTAATGACACTGCAGCACTGCTCAGAAACCAAAACCTCAGCTTAGTTTGCCCCCATCAGCTTTGTTTCTTGTGCTGCCCATCTGTGTGTGACTTGCAGTAACTTACATGATCAGTTCTTCAGATGCATTTAGAAATCCCCTTGGATTCTCAGCTTTTCCTCCTTCTATGGTGATAAAAAACCCCAAGACACTTCAAAATTCTTAGTACAGACCCAGCAAATTGCCAGGCTGAATTAATCTCTTGTAAATAAACATGCTGTCAGTTCTCTTTTGTCCAGAAACAACCTACAGAGGAAAAACATCCCAAAGTTAATTAGGGAGTGCCTGGATTGCAGCTCCCATCTGGCTGCCTGGGAGCAGAGGTTGCTTTGTGCACCTGAGGCTGGACAGGCTTTAAGGAAGTTTCAGCTGGAGACTTGGGAAATCTCTCCTTTGCTGTGTTAAGCAGCAGGGAACAAAACTGCAACAAGCAAGAAAGCCTGCATGGGCAGAGTGTCCCATCTGTCATCCTGGCATGCTGAGTTTGGGAGTCATCTACTTCAAACACACTTTTGTCCCCGTGGCTGTCTGCCTGCCACTGTGTCTGGCCTGTATCATACTGCTAATGAGCTTCAGAGCTCGTTTAGAGCTCCTGTAATCAATGGCTCTGAAGCGAAATATTATTAAACCCCTATGAATATGAGGTCATGTACCATTGGAGGTTATGAAACTTCTCTTAACTTCTGTTAAGAGGAATTTGCATTTATGTAATGCTGTGATATTCATTTGCAGCTGACCAGGTATTGTGCCTGCTTGGGTTTGCCCAGCCAGGAGAACACTCCAGGGCTGCTCCTTGACAACCGTCGCTATCGGTGGCTCCAAACTTGAGGCCTGAGGAGAGAGATTCAGAAAGCAATAAAGATGGAATTACTCTGAGCAGAGCTCTCTCCAGAGAGTGGGATGAGAAGGGGAAGTCACTGCAAATCCATGCTCATTTCACAGACAGCAAAGCCAAAGATGGGGTTTCTCTAAAAGGTTGCATCCCCTTCCCAGACAGCTGTGTAAGTTGTCTTTGGCACTGGCTGGAGAGGGAAGGTTGCTGCCTGGAGGAAACCAGGAAACAATAATCAAGGTCTGTCTAAATGTTAAAAGTCACTTTGTCTTAAAACTATTTGGCATATTAACCCATTCCCCCTTCCCTCCTTGAAGAAACAGGTGCTGATTTGTTAAGCAGTTAGTCAAATAATCTCAGTTTGCTTTTCCCCTCAAGGTTTGTCTAGAGCAAGGTGTGGCTGTGCACAGTTCCCAGGCCTGCCATTGTCCAGGGAGCACCACTCCTGCCACTGCAGCACCAATCTGGTGCCACCACGTCAGCACCATCCAAGGAGGAGGAATCTTCAGTGATAAGTGCCAGCCAGCCCCTGTGACCTGTCACAGGCAGTGGCAACAGGGACCAAAGCTTGAGTGACCCTCTCCAAGCTGTGAAAAATGTCATGGCACCATTTTGTGATGGTGAAATCTGCAGTAAGTTCCTTTGATTATGGACCAAAAAAAAAAAAAAAAAAAAAAAAAAAAAAAAAAAAAAAATTGAGACCCCCGTGCTCTGTTTGCCTCCAGCCAACACAGGAATCTCCTCCTCCATTCCCCTGTCTCTGCTGTGATGTGGGGAGTGAGGGGGAGCCAACTTCCTGGAGTTTGCACCCTCTCAAAAGGTCGTGATCCCATTGTTACCCCTGCAAGTCAGGGCAAGGGAGGAGCTGGAGCAGAGCTGAAGGGGCAGCAGTCTGTGGATCGAGTTTGGCTAAGGCTGTAGGTAACTGGCTGCTGATTAGAGTTTATTTGTTAGTGTACACTCATTTTGGGACCATTTTGCACATGCACAGCATGAAATAGGTAGATGTGCTGCAGAAATATTAATTGATAAGAACTGCAGATGTGCTCTCTGCTTTTTGAGAGTGCTTCAGGTCACAACATGACATGCTGTGCATGAAATAAGCTGCACTGGCAGCACAGTCAAATTTGGATGTCACTTTATTGTGCTGTTTCTGATATTATGAACAGTGTTCAAAGAGCCATTTGTGAGGATTTGGATGCATTAGCCCTGTTAAAGGGAATGAAATTTGCACACATCCTGGGGACACAGCATGGGCCTTACATGCTCTTTATTCCACACTGAAATGGAGAAGAACCTGGGTGAGTGCTGCCTATTCAGACAAGGAGGATTTTGTTTGTGGGTGTCCTGTTTTCTCCTGGCTCCCCTGACAACAGCTGATTTAACTGTTTTGGTGCTGCTCTTGCTTTAATAAATCAATCCATAGATTGATAAATTAATTTTTTAAAACTCCCTTTTTAGAAAAGATTAAATTTGCTTCTTCAGATCAATTGCACTGTGAGAGGATGGAGTGTTTTGAATTTAAAATGTTGAGAGAGCAGTGGAGTATGTATGTTGTGCTTGATAAATGTGCTCTCTCCTGACTGCTGGGAGAGAGTGAGATAGATCCACATGTCAGAAAACAAGATAAAGCACAGCATCTGCTCTTCCACCTCCGTGTGCTTGTGGGAGTTCTTTCCTGTTTCCTTATTTCCCCATCTATAAATCTAAAATAACAAAGACCTCCCCCACTGGAAGTGGTATCAGCAATTCATGACCATACAACATTCAAACCTGGCAGGGAAGTGCACTAGGAGAGCAAAAATTATTCACTCCATAAATTATAGAACCATGTCTAAACAAGGTGATAGACAGCAAAAATCACTATATATTCTCCTGTCTCCTAATTACCTGGGTGCCTTCTTTTGGTTATCCCTGACTAAGAAAGGGCTTGTAGATAAACACTGGCATTTCAGGGGTGGCATGAAATCTAAAAAAGCCTTTGGAAATTAGGATTGAACAGTGGCTCTGCACTTGTGCCTGTGGTTTTGGGGTGGCAAATCAGGTGATCACTGCCAGATCCTCAAGTGAGCCTTGGCCATGGTGTGTGTCCTTTGCATCAAAGGTGCAGGTGTGTGTCCATGACCATTTGCACTCTGTGTTGGTGCTTTATAGGGCTGTGGGCTCACAATGATTTTCTAGACTGAGCATCAGTCAGCAGACTGAGAGAAGAGCTCTACCCATGCTGGGTTGATGAGAAGTCAGGTTTTGGCAGAGATCAATTACCCCAGAGCAACAAGAGGATTGCAAGGAGCAGGAAAGATTTTTTTAGGTGTCAAGCCTGCTACGCTGTCTTTGAAATACTTGTTGTAATGAGTTTGGGATTTTGTTACACTGTTGATTATTTCTAGTTGCCTACACAAAGCTGTTATTTTGCTTAAAGCTTAAATCAGGGCCTGGTTTATATAACAGTAATTTTGGCTGGGGTTTTGATGGCAAATACACATTTTCATTCTAGATGGGGGTAGAAAATTACTCTGATGTTGGGTAGAATTGTCCCCTGGGCCACCTGGCAGATAGCTCTGACTTGAGTAAAATGGATAAGCTGTATGAAATCTCTGATCTGCAGAGAGAAGAGGCACTCCTTAAGGCTGCTCAGCATATCTCCTGTGATAGTTCCTAAAATGTTCACCTTAGTTATATGCTAGTCATACAGTACTTCTGTGCTCCCTGGCTTTCTGCATTCCCATGACACTGGTAACTAGTCAACTGCCCTGGACAAAAGGTAGCAATAAATCAATTGTCAGATTCCTCTAAAGTGAGTGAACTGTTATAAAGCTCAAGCTGCTCCAAGGGCTGGTTGACCTACAAGCCAGTCTGAAGATCAGAGCTGAGGATCAGATGCTGAAGATCACCAGATGTGCAAAAAGCTTTTACAAGGGGACAAAATTGTTCCTGCGCTGTGTGGGCAGTGTCCGAGCCGAGTCCAAGTGCTGCACATCAAACAAAAGGCACAATGAGACTGAGAAGAAAGCAGCAGTGCTCTGGAGGACATAGCAGGGTGAAAAGACATCTGCACCCCCAAGTTTTAGGGGTTTGAGTTCAGAGGTACTGTCTGAAGGCAGAAACCCTGCAAATCCAGTACCTTTGAGCACCTCCTGCTCTGCCTCCCCTCACAAGGAGCCTCTCTCCTGGGGCCCAACAAGACCTTGTGTTTGTGCTGAGGCACTTTGCTTAAATCCTGCCATCTTTGCCGACTGTTAGGGAAGCACCTTCTTGGTTATGTCACACATAATGTTTAAAATGTTTTTTTAAACCCTATATTTTGTTCATTCTGTCCAGGGCATCATGTTCAAAGGCTGTTTTGGTTTCCTGGAGAGCAACAGACCACAGTCAAGTCTCTCTGAGGTCTAAAGGGTTTTAAAGCTAAGAGGGTCCACCACAACCTCTTCATCAGCGCTCTTTCATGTGAACGACTTAGATCGCAGCCCCTGCCTCAATTTCTGTCTCCTCACCAGTAGGAATGTAGCGCCTGGTGTCACATCGGCCATCACTAGGCTTCAGAGTTAACAGTGTTACTGATGACAATCCCAGCCCGTGCGGAAAGAGCGATAAGAACGGCAAGTTCGGCTCGTACCCGGGACGTTTCCCGAGCCCGCGGGGACTCCTGAGGCGATTGCCATTCCCGCGCTCCCCGCGGGCCCCCGCCCCGCCCCGCCGCGCTCCGCCCCCGAGGCCGCCCCAGGTACCGGCGGGGGGGCGGCTCCCGCCACGCGAGCAGCGGCCGCGGGACCGCTCGCCTTAGCTCGGTTCAGTTCAGTTCGGCTCTGCTCGGCTCGGTTTGCTTCGGCTCGTCCCGGCTCGGTTCGGCTCGGCTCGGCTCAACGCCGCCGCTCCTCCGCCGCAGGTAAGAGCCGCGGCTCCTCTGAGGGAGCTCCTCCCGCGCCGTCGGGGCTGCTTCCCCTCGAAGGTGGCGGGGAGGGGGCTGGCGGTGTTCCGCACCTCATGTCCCCAACCGGGACCCACAAACTCCTCCTGCCCTCCTCGCCCCGGGCTCCGCGGGACGGCAAGCAGGAGGTGCCCGGCGGGTGAGCTCCGTGCTCCGAGGTGTGGTGTAACGGGCAGCCCTCGGGAGCGGCGGGGCGGAAAGGGCAACAGCAGTTCCATCTCTAAAATAAACATATCCCGGCAACGAGAGGCGATATAATATTCCCTTATCAGTAAAATACCCTCAGCCTCGCGGGAGGGGGGAGAGCGGAGAGCGGGGCCTTCCCGGCTGTTCCCCAGCTGGTGCGTAACCCGCCCGTTCCCGTCACCCCGGGCCGTGCCCGGCTCTAGGAGGGGGAACAGGGAACAGGTGACAACAACCGAACTGCTGGGAATGGAGCACTGCCGGAATCGCGGCGCTGCTGTCGTCGTGGCTGCTCGGGCAGGGCACGGACCCGCTGCTGCCTCACAGCCCGCCCGAGCCGGCGGAGCGGACTTGCCCGTGCCCACCGTGCCCGTTCAGTCCCGGGCAGCGCGCCCACCGCACCAAACCAAACGGATCCATCTTCTAATTCAGTTCATAAAAAGTACAAACTCTCCAGTTCGTCCAGTTTATGCTGTGCAAAACGCATGTGGTATTTTATTTTTTTTTTGCCCCGCATTCTGGGACGACGCGTCGGTTTTCCCCGCTGTTTTGTTTCTTGCCCGCAGCCCGGCAGTGCCGCTGGTGTGCGCGGTAACAGCGGCCGGGGCACCGCAGCGGCATCGCCAGCACCGGCACCAGCGGCTCCACCTTACCTGCCTCCCAAGGCTCTGTCTCCACGTTGTCCTTCCCTTCTTACAAGCTTGCGGGCTTGTGCAGTGCATCAGGTTGATCTGACCTAAATGTAACTTGTCAAAAAAGAAAAAAAAAAAAAAAAACAAACCTAGGGGGACTAATTTTAACGTGGATTTTCCCATGTCCTGAGACAACATGACCGTCGTCTCTGAACATGGTTCTGTGAAATTCTTTGGTGGCAAATCTGGTTTTGACTTCTCCTGTTTTGTTTCTCATCACTTATTCCTCACCCAGTGCTGCACTCTCAGTTGTGCAAATAATAGTTTGCAGGGCTTAAGAGTTGCCTGGATTAGCTCTGGGTTCAAATAACATTCTCTTGTGAAGGTTTTTTCTTTTCCTCCTCCAAAGGTAAAAAATGTTACAGGAACTATAATTTTGATCTGTGTGTTTGTAACTGTACTCAGATCATGAGAGCACTGGTATTGGGTTATAGAGAGTACAAAATTGAATCCATACACTGCTGTATGGAAGTGTGTAACTAAAAGGCTTTTATTTCCTGTTATTTGTGCTTGCTATCCTGGAGGTGGTTGTATATGCATTAACTGGGACTTCGCTGCCTTCAGGAAAATTTTATCAGAACAATTTATAGTGTAAGTCAGAAGAGAGACAAATAAACCCAATTAAAATCAAGATTCCTTTGCAATTTTGACAAAATCATGATGCCCTCTTTGCAGACCCAATATATTTTCAGGTGACAAAGTGAGAAGACTTATCAGCTTTATGTTTTACTAGCAGTAGTTCTTGTGTGCCGCGAAGCAATGCATTTAGTATTTGTTAACATGAGGGTTGTTGTGTAGTAGTCATGTTAGCTGCATAGTTCAGAGGTGGTTTTTCCTACCTTCATTCTCATATGTTTTCATATTTCAGATTAAAATGTGCAGGTCACAGCATCACAGTTCAGGGTCTTGCATCATGCTGCCTGATTGTAGTTCCAGGGAAGGGCTCTCATGTCCACTTTGCTCCCCAGTATTTTTTGTTACTGGTTGGGCTGAAGAAGTAGGGTTTTTTGAGGCAGTTCTCAATGGCTAACACTTAGAAATGTCCTGAACTGGTCATTTCAGATATGCTTTTTGCTGTAAAAATGTATCTTGTGCTTCAGGTTCTGCATATTTAGTGTGCCCCTGGAAATGTGTGCTTAGCTTAGTGCAGTAGTGTTTGATATTTGAAATAAGCAATGAGATTTATGTTTGGAAGTATTAGCTCATTAAAAAATGGGAAGTGTGAGGGTGCTTGTTCTAATCCCAGTTAGCAGGTGGCTTACTTTGCAGCATGGGAGAACATCATAGCATAGAGAAATGAATTAACTTAATCATCACAGATTTTCTGCTTGAAAGAGGAGCATTAACAGGCAGCAAATTAGACTTCTGCACTGCAGAGGCATCCTAAGCTGGCCCCGTCTCTCTGTGATTCTGGTTTGCAGGTGGTTTCTACAAGACAATTCCAGCCTCTGGTCACTTGATTCGGTGAGGACAGCAGCTTGTTTTTACCTATAAATGAAAGGTTTTAGACTCAGTGGTGCAGAAAAAAATCTGTAACTGTCTCCTGTTCATTAATCTGCCTGAACCTGCATATGGCTTCACTCTAGCTCCAGATAGGGTGAGTCCCATCATATACCTGAACTTCCCTTATCTTCCACCACTGTGGGAAGGCATGGTCATGGCTTTCTCCATGAAGGGCTGTATCCCTCCAGAACATAGCTGTGCCCTGCCTTCCAGCTGGGCAAGGATCAGCAGGGGCTCACACTCAGATTCATCTTGTGTGTTGCTCTGTGTGCTTGCATGTCGCTGCTCCCTCCGTGCGTTCAGCAGTGAGGTGTGAGGAAGTGCTCCACCACTGCCAGTTCCTTCCTGAGAAAGAGAGGCAGAGCTGCAGGGCTGGAGATCCCATGAGGAGCGGGCTGAATTCCGGGTTTCTGCTGTCTCGGCCGTCGCTGCAGTGTGTGTGACAGGAAGGAAGGGCTTTGAGGATGGTGAGTTTTGTAACAGCCCTCAGCCTCATCAGTGTGCACTGGTCTCTGGGACAGGGCTGGATTCGGGGCAGCCTCAGCTTGCAGTTCTGTAGCACTAGAAATTGGCTGGCTCCAGGATTCCTAGTTCAACAGAATATTCAGGGAGTTGTGGAAATCTCTGCGTCCCCTCTTTAGGGCGTAGGAAAGATAAAAATCTCCTCTTCCCTGCATCCTCTGGGAGAGAGCTGAGCTAGGTTCAGATTTTGTTACTATTACATATTTTTCTGTGTATTTTCTGGAGTAGTGTGCTTGCCAACAGGAATGGAACCATGTGATAGTAAGAGAGTGGCAGACACTTAACGCTCACAGAAGAGAGTACAAAAGTGGAAACTTATATTTCTTTAATTTTTTTTGTTTGTTTTTGTTGCAATACTAGAAGGACTAATTCCTCCTTCCTGAGAATTTTATTCTGGCTCTAAAATGAGCTTTGAGGATGTTGAATGTTGTGCAGGAAATGGGAGAGGCATGGCTTGATGTTTGACTCGAGGAAATCTTTCTAACAGTCAAACCAAATGTCGTTGTAAAGTTAGATGGCAAAAAAGTGGTACCTGCTGGTTCTTGACTTGTTCCACACCCAGCAAGTTCTTAAAAATCTTTTAAAAGCTGTTTTTAAAGCCTGTGTTCCCAAATCTAAATGGGAATGAAAATAAATAACCACTGACATTGCTTACAGGTTTTCATCCTTTAGTTGTTATGCATATATTGAACTTTTTTGTAGCGTGTAAGTTCCAGAACAAATCCACTACAAACATCTTCTTATAAAGGCTTCTGGACTCACTTATAAATGAATTTTATTAAAGCTGAAGCACTCAAGATGAAGAGCTCACATTTTTAAGATTATAAACATAGACTTTCTGTGTAGAGAGTTGAGTTGTTTTTGTTCTAGATCTGTCAGTTGAGTGGCATTTAGATGACACCCCAAAGTCAAGTTTTGGACAGTACTGGAGAGTGAGCCAGAGGCTGTCACAGGGAGCAGCTGTTGCAGGGGGCAGGGCTGTGAGAGCAGGAGGAAATGTAACTGAAAAATGTGCAATACTTTGAGCAAGAGCAAGCTGCTGTGGTGCTGCCAAGCCAGGTGATTGTCAATTGTGTGGATCCTGAGGAGGGATTTGTGTTTGATCCAAATTCTGGCCTGGAGTGGGTGGCTGCAGCCTGTTATTTACGTAAGGTCCAAGTGTGCCCAGGTGCTGTGGCAGGCTCCACAAGGCAAGATAATGTAAGTCAGGATGATAAATGGTGCTGTACTCTGGCTTACTGGAGAGAAAATGCACCAGACACAAACTTGGCCTTTACATTGTAATAGCCATGAAAAAGAGAGCTATGTTCTGTTATGCTTTTCTGCTCTAAATCTGGAATAATTATTACTTTGAAGCAGATATTTTTGTGTAGGTGTGCTCTGAGTTGCAGATGTCCTATTGCAGTTGTCTTTGCAGCATGGTAGACTTTGATCCAGGCTTTGTGCAAAACACCCTTGTGTACAGAGGGATTTCAGCTGCTTCTTGGTTCCGTTTGCTTTGCTGCCTTTCTTCAGGAAATGTGCAATGATTCCTATCCAAGGTTTTCTCTCCAATTGTGAGATTTATCCGGAACTTTAATTTTAGATTAGTAAAGATAATCTCCCTTTAATAAACTTTAAACTGCTGGCTTTGAATGTTTGCTGTTATCTTAATATCTGTCACTAACTCTAGCACTGTTTCTGTTCTCTTTGTACACTACAGGACTTTCCTCTTTACCTTCAGTGGAGGAAGCTCAAACCTTGCACAACACTTTGTTCCCAGCCTAACCCCATTATTCCCTTACCTAATATTCTTATTATTCATCTTTACCATAATCATTGTAATCCTTTTGCTTCTACATCGCAGGTTCAACAGTGTGACCACTCTCTTGATTCATATACTCACAGCAAAGCCTTCATCTCTCTCATGGATTATAGATCTAAATTGGTAACTATCGCTTGCTTGCAATGTTTATTAGCACTTGTTAATTGCTCATACTCTGTTTTCTGCTTCTGAGAAATCTCTCTTGTAGAACAGCATTTATATAAGAGTCTCTAAGGTCACGGCCTTGTTTCCTTTATGAGCTTTATCCTTAGGACAGCACACATTGGCTCTAAAAAATTCAATTGCTTGGAAGAAATCTGGTTCAAAATGGAAATTCATTTCTGAAAAAGAAAACAGTGACAGAGCACATAAAGGAGTGAGTTTTTACAATAGAAAATTGACTTAGATGTGTAATTTGTGAACTAGATTATTTTTAACTTAAATGCACTTTTTGGGAAAAAAATACACAAGGTATTAATGCTTTTGAGAAGAAGTTATGTTGCACATTAGTAGCAACTCTCAGGGGTTACTGTAGAAATAAAAGGAGGGGTTTCACCCCATCCTCTCATCTGCCTAATTAAAGTGTGTTACTGGATGATGATGAAACAGTTAAACTGTCACATTTAAATTGTTACTGGTCCTAAAGAGCATAAGACAAATATAGGAAATTACACTTTTGGCTTTAAAAATGAAGCATATTAAAAGATGTTTTTATGACTAGAACTGCCCAGAAGTTGTTCATAACAGGTTCATAACAAATTGAATTTGCAAATGTGTCTTAGGGTATAGTTTGAAGTATAAGTTGCATCAGTGTGACCAGGTTTCATGGTTAACTGGGGTGACTGGAGCAGAAAAGGTAATTCTTTCCCAAATTCAGACTTCTTTCTCACACTGTTGTGAGAGAGAATGGGATGTGGAAACAGCATGTCAGTGAACACCACATGGTTGCTAATAAAGAGACAGGTGACCTTCCAAGGTAATGGTTGGATTTCTTGTTTCTGGTCTGTGAGAGGATAAAGGAGAACAGCTCTCCATTAGTTTGTAGCCAAAACCATAAGGGCTGGCAACACTAAAAGTCAACCTTAGCCTTTTTTTCTGGCAATAAATAAATGGGGAGGTATATCAGTTAATTTCTAACCAACACTTTAAGTTTGTCCTGAAGTTGGCTGTAGGCAACAAATGTTTCAGAGCAGGGCTTACAGTGACCACTTGCAGTGATTCCTAAGAGCAGGAACACTTGGATGTTTGTGTTGCACTAGAAACTAGTTTAAGTCTTCACCATGATGCTGGTCACAAATTGAGCTGTGTGGATCCATCTATGTGACAGATTTTAGTCAGCACTAAAAACAGCAAAGGCTGGTTTCCCATGAAGGTTTCTTAGGGCAATTGGCTTTTTTTCTTTTAAAATTCATTAGACCAAAATAGAAACTAAAGACAGGAGAGCCACTTTGACCCAGGAATATATTCTTTGGTGGCTAATAAGCTCTGATTAAGATTTTATTGCTTTAGAGCATTTGCAGCATCCTGCTCTTATGTGGTTTCTTTGTCTAATAAAAGATGAGCTCACACTGCAGGCTTTTTCCTCAATAGGGAAATAATAAAGTATCTCAGAGCTACAAAACTGCCTGTTCCCACAAAACTAGTCGGAAGTGGCTGTGTTTGAGACCTTGCTCCCAAGAAGATTGTCAATATAAGTATGCTCTTAGCTACAAAAATAGGGGCTACCCAGGCAAAAAACTAAATGATGCAAGGTCTCATGCTGAAGTGTTCTCAAGGACAATCTGACTGGCAGCTTTTCCCTCTCCTGTGTAACAGATTTTATGTCCTGTAGCAAAACCTTTCCTTTGTAAGGATTTTATTGAGGATTAGTCCAAGAGAGTCAAAATGGAACAGTGGAGAGCCTCTCCTTTGCCCTGTGTGTGGCAGCTGTATTTGACCTGGTCTCCTGTAACAGAGCTCTCTTGGGCTGTGTGTTTGTGTGACACAGCAGAGATGCTGCTCTGTTTGGAGCCATCCTAAAGGAGCATCTGTGGCTGTGTGCCCAGGGAGCAGGGCTTACACTGCCAGCTGAATGAATGGCCTTGGACCAAGGAGGGAGGACAGTCCCCTGGGAGCAATGGCTGTGTGAGCCTGCAGGTGGTTTGCACAGGAGCTGCCTGACCTCAGTGTTGTCTCCATTTCCCTGTGCTGCAGAATCTCCTCCAGGTGCAGAGGGCTGCAGGAGATGTGATTTTGTGGACCTTTCTCTCAGTAGCATAGCAACTGCCAGCACTTCCCACTGCTCTGTCCCCTCTGCTTGGCTCCCTGAGCCGTGAGGGATCAGGAACTGAACCAACTTTCCAAACAGCCCTGCAAAACAGGAGAAGCTGGAGGAGGATTTATTTTTAACTGGGATCTCTGTGTTCTCTGAACCACCTCTCTGTGGGGTCCTCAGGGCTGACATGACTGGGGAGTGCTTGGAGCAGGAGTGAGACAACAGGTGGGGAAGAGGAAGGGAGGGGAGGAGGACCAGGAGAAAGGTCTGCTGTTCCCTGGCTTTGGGATTCAAGCACAAATTCAGGGGCAGCCCTGCAAACACTTCCAGCCCAAGTGCTGGTAGAGCACAGCTTCAGTAATGATCTGCCATCAGAGGGATAATCAGAAATTAGTATGAAAGTCCTTTCAGTTTCACTCCATTCACTAGAGGGGAAAGGGAAAAGTGAAATTTAAGCAAGGGGATGGAGTTTTCTTTAAAATTTCTGTGCTCTGTCTGCCTCTGGTGATTCAAGATGCTGACCTGCAACATCTCCAGCCAGCACAGAGGCCAGTGAGGGCTGTGCTTCTATGACAACAGCCCCACGTTCTGGACAAGTATCATTTGATCTTTTTCTCTGTGTTGTGCTTCTAACAAAGCTGCTCAAGCTGGCCACATTCTGTAATTGCTTTTTCAGCCGAGATCTGAAAGTCACATTTGTAGCCAGGCACAATTCTGATTAGAGCAATCTAGGAGGGTTAATAGGGGCAGCAGTGCTTCAGTTGCAGGATCAGCTTGGAGTGTGTGGATGGGTTCTGGGCAGGCAGGGGTACAAAGAAGATTCTGATTCCTGTATGATTATTACAATACCTTTGTTAAAGGTCTGCCTCTGAATCTGTAAAAGATCAGGCTTCAAATGATGAGGGTTTCTCACTATTTTGAGCCTGAGTGGAATGGAGAAGTAGAGATTTTAATTATTTTTTTCTTCAGCAAGTGCACAAGTATTGTCGATGTAGAGATTATAAATGAGATTACTCTCATTTGTAGAGATTATAATGTGTATGGGGAAGATAAATGACTCAAATGGAAATTTTCTGTCATCCAGTGTGGTGATGGTACAAATCACCTGATTCATAATTTTTGCAGCTGAGATTTCTAAGGATAAGGAGGCAGTAAGTGCATTGGCCTGAGTGTCTGAATGGAAGTTAGTCAGATGTTGAATTCCTCATTTTAGAAATTCCTGCCATCAACCACAACACATGGGTAGAAGAGCTGTTTTCTAATACACTAATGAGAAGAAAATTTGTGCTTGTGTTTTCTGGAGTGCTTGCAAAGGACTGTAGACTGACTGAAGAGCAGCTGAAGTTCAGAAGAGTGCATCAGAATTATGCTGTATCCTACAGAGAAATACTTTTGGGAAGATTTTAATGCATTCTGTGCAGCTGTTCACTATTGAGCTACTGATAAATTTCTTGAAACTGCCCTTGTGAATGCAGTCTGTGAACGAAATGTCTGCTGCACCAGCCCTTTTCTGTGTGAGAAAGTTGCATATGTTTAATCTGAGATAAACCATTGTGCACATTGCACTGAAGTTTAAACTGGGTTGCTTTTGGTTTCTTTCCCCTCTGCTGGAAATTTAAGTGAAGTTATCATCCCTATTTAAACTGCCTTGGGATAGCATTTTGGTTTAGAGTTGTGAATTTTGAGCTGTTTTTTTGGTTTTGTTGGGGTTTGTGGGGTGGTGTTGTTGTTGTTGCTGGTTTTTTTCAGTGAATGGGTGAAGGTGAGACTTGCTAAGAAGGGAGGCATTTGGGCACATGCTGAGAGTAGATATTGGAGTGAGTTTTGTTCCCAAAGGTGCCTGTGAATTTGAGTTGAGGAGGAAATTAACTTCTGTGGGTGCTGGGTGAAGGAGAGACTTCTGTCACTGCTTAGTGCCTTCTGACTGCTCACGAGTAGCCCAGGCCCTGCTTTGCATAAGTAGCTGCTAATTAAACTTGTGCTGTCATTGCTCCAATTTGCAAACCTATAACTTGTTATAAGGAGCCAATTTGCTTATTTGATGTGTGGTAGTTTCAAACAGCATGAGAGATTAAAAGTGTGGTATAGCTGTTAAAAGGCAAAGTTTCTGTTTCCTCCTCTGTAGTAATTTGGTTTGTGTGGTTGTGTTCTGTACAACCAGAGGTGAAAAGTCAGAGTCTTACCTCCTGTCACCAGCTGTCTGAGCTGCACACATTGGAGCATTCAGGGCTGCTCATGGCCCCTAATGATTCATATTCTGCTGTTGTTTTTTTGTTTCTGAATCTGAAAGGGATAATTTATCCATTTCAAATGCTGTCTGTACCCCCGTTGGAGCCCTCACGTTTTATACAGTCTTTATTCCAATTGCAGTCTTAAGAGTAGATAGGTGTTGGATGGAGTCAAAGTTTCCAGCTGAAATTCCTAGTTTTTCATCTTTTCCCATTTCCTTTTGTTTTTCTTCTCTAAATGTTGAGGAGAGAACTTTTGTAAGGATAAAATGGTGGTGGTATACACTAGAAATGTGGATTTTCCACAGAAGTAGTAAAACCAATTATTTAGGTTTATTTACCTTGGAGGCTGCTTGATGAGTTGCATGGTTGGATGCACTGTCAAAGATTTTAGTTCTTGGTTGCAGTTTATTGGAGCAACAGCAGTGGCACCCTGCCACTGGAGTAAAGAATGCTGTTTCCCCATGAGAATTGGAACAATCTGCAGTGGCCATCTGTTATTCTGTTAAATACAAAGCAGTGCAACAGGTGTATTTCTTGGGTTTGGAAGTCTTACCAGCACGAGTGAACACTAAACAGGATTAAAGCCAGAATTTAAAAGAAGATTTCAAAGTGTGCTCCTCTTTAGTCAGCAGATATGGTGGTTATGACATTAGAAAGTGGAGAGATAACCTAAACATATGGTACACAGTTAAGGAGAACAAATGCTGAACTGCTCTTAAATCTGTTCTTTTCCCACGTTTGTCATTTTCTTAGATGGCTTCAGTAACAGATGCCAGATTCAGGCAGAAGGATACTTCAGACCAAAATTTTGATTACATGTTCAAGCTCCTGATCATTGGCAACAGCAGTGTGGGTAAAACATCCTTCCTCTTCAGATACGCCGACGACACCTTCACTCCAGCCTTTGTGAGCACGGTGGGGATCGACTTCAAGGTGAAAACAGTTTACAGGAATGACAAGAGGGTGAAGCTGCAGATCTGGGTAAGTGCCAGCACTTTCAAAGATGCTTTATATTAATCCCAGCAGAGCTATGATGGTAAAGTGTGGCTTGTTTGGAAGTGGGTTTTTGGGTTGGTGTAGATTTTGGTTGTTCATACTTTGTGTATGGCTGGGCCTTTGTGTCCCTGCAGTAACCTGAGGGAGTTCTCTTTGTGTCTAGCTCACTCCTAATGTGGTCTGAGGAGCTGCTCTGCATTTGAGTGAACTCTACACACAACTCATACTATCATTTTATGGCCTCTACATGAGATATTTGTATCTTCCTGTAACTCATGTACCTGCTCAGCAGCCCATTTCTACCCAATTTCTGCCCCATCTTAAGAGCCTAATCTTCTAATTGCTCTACATACACCTGATTTGTAATTCTTTAATAATTGCATTTAAATGTCAAATTACTGTAATCACATCTGGGTTTTTTATTTATTGTGATGATCTTGAATAGTGAGAATCTAAAATGAGGTGTTTTTTTTGTACTACAACTACATGATTCACTTTATTTCTGTGTTGCTGGGTACAATGTAAAACAACTTATTTAATAAAAGATCCTTTTCATGTTGTAAAATCCTGACATTGAAACTAAGGTAGGTCACCTGATGTGAAATTGATTGAATTAATTTAGGGTTTTGGCAACAAAAATGTTTTTACTTCAGGCTCTATAAGCAACTAAAGATGATTTCCATTTAGTTGGTCTTTGTGAATTTTGGAACGTGAAATTTTCTAAGAATGTGTGTAAAAGTGAGACAGAAAACACCATAAAATATCAGGGTTTTTTTCAATGACACTGTGATTAAAGTGAATTAAGCAATAATCTTAATTAAATCTGTTAGAGGGCTTCTGGGCAAAAAGGGCTTTAATAACCTTAAACTTCTTTTGAAAAGAGATGTCAGGTGAATTCCTCACAGGGTGCAATCCATAGGACCTTTAATATTGGAGTTACAAACAACACTGTTGATTTAACATTTATTTTTTGATAAAAGGTACACCTAAGTGTTGAACAGTTTCCAGAGTAACTTGTGTTCTGTTCTTCTCTCTTTTTGCATGGATCCCTGACATGAGTCATGATTCAAGGACCTTAACAAAACCACTGTGTGCCTCTATCAAAACCACAGCATTTAAACATGTTTGTGTCCTGCCTGTCCTGAGATTATATTTGTCATTCAATGTGTTCTCCAGGGTACATGAAGTAATAGTGGGGTCCATTAGCATAAAAAAACTGTGGGTTCCTATGTGTGGGAAGAAAGAGCTTTCATACAATTGGTTTTTAAAACTATTTATAGCTGCTGTTGAGTTTCTGGGAGTGTGGGACTCTGTGGCACCATTAAACCCTTTGCTCTGACTTACAATTTTCCAGTTATGTTGACATTTTTTCAAATTATTTCTCCCTAAGCTTGGCATTAAGCCTTGTCTGAATCAGATTTAATGTGAAAATAAGTGAAGGAGAAGGTACAAGTGTTTGACTTAACCACTTCAAATATTTTTCTAAAACCCAGAGAAAAGCACTTCTAGGAACCTGTGATGTTCTCTTCTCCACAGACCCAGGGTTTTTCAGTTCAGGGTTGCTTGTGGAGCTCTGAAGTGAGCGCAGCTGTGACACACTGGAGGTGCTCAAGGGCTGTGCCAAATAACCTTGTCTGTGCTCTGCAATCTCAAGGTGAGAGGGGAGTTATTGCTGCTGTGCTGTGAACCAGAGGGATCCACCATCAGTGGGACTTCCTTTACACTGCCTGTTGCCTCTGTTGAACAGAAGAGCAGAATTTGGGTGCAGGACCCAAATTTTGTGTTGTCTTCAAGCTCAGAAGATTTCACGCTGCCTCAAGGGCCGAGCAGGTGCTGTAAAGGCTGACAGCTGTGTCTGTAAATGTCCCTGGCCTGACTCCTGGTTTTGTTTCTCCAGCACAAGTTGATGAGCATTTTAAAGCCAAAGATCTTGCCTTTGTGTTTGTGCTGAGTTTGAGGGAGTCTGTATTTTGTGAATCAGGGTTTGACAGGCTGTCACATGGAATGATCAGAAGAGTGCTCCTCTGTTGGATTGTGGTGTCATTCGTGGGCCTCTTGCTTTGTTGACATTAATGCCTCCATCACCCAAATTGATATTTTAATAATCAGTTGTGCTTGTGACTAAGCAGTCTGGGAAATGATCTGCTTTGAAAGGACTTGAAAGGAATATCTCTCTAGCTTGAGAGGAACAGGACATAGCAGAGATATTCATGATGTTTTTAAGGTAGAATGACAGCACTGCTGCTGCATGTGGAAACAGTAAAATGGTTCAGAGAGGGGTTTATGAAATAATTTTTGTTGGCTTTTTTCCCCTTTCTTTGAAGAACTCCAAGATCAGTTGACTGTGTTTTAATTTCAAATATTTTCTGTCTTGTTTAGAAATGGTAGTGTTATGCTAATAGAATAAATTAACTTTATTGAGAACATTTGTTTTGTAGTTGGATGAGACTTAGTAATTTAATATCTAATTAAAAACCTTTATTACATAAATATATTCATATATTATATAGATATTTACATATCTACATAAATATAATTTTTGAATTAGATTTTTTTTATGCCACTGCCATCTGTAATAATACTTTTATATAAAGCATCTTCCTTATGATTGGGTTGTAAGGAGCCAATTTATAATATCTCTCTGCATTTCTTGATCAATTTTGTATTCCCAGAGTTGCTAATTACTGTTTACTAGAGGAAAACTATTATATTTTCAGCTAGGTATGTTTTTTTATTATAAATAAATCTCAAAGGTAACATTATTATATTCTTAGCAAATGCAGACAGTTAATACTTAATGCAGAGTTCAGGTTGCCTAGCAGCTAGAGAGGGCCACTTTGTCCAGATCCACATGGAAGCAGGGTGAATGAATAAAAGTGATTTCAGTTTTAGGTAAGAGCAAGGTGAGATTTCTTTTTCTGCCTTGTGTGCATTTGTGTGGCTGTTGCTGGTGGGGAATAATGGTGTGAAAATGACAGCAGAACTCCAAATGAGCAACGTGGCCTCAGGGGGAGCTGCTGGGGGGGACAGCCTCTGGTCCTTGTGCTGGCCCAGGCTGGGTTCATTGCATGAACTCTTTGCACAGTATCATAAATTAACTGATAGAAAATCACTGGCAGGGTTCAGCCCCCAAACACCCAATACACACTTTGTGTGAGGAATTTGATTACATTTCCATTATATTTTTGTGCAGAACCTTACACAAAGGACTCTCAACATTGATGTGATTAATTATAAACATAACTAAATACAGGGTTTGGCAGCTGATGTTACAGTTGAAACTGCTTTCAACCCCCTTTGTAAAAACCAACAGAGATTAAATTTCACTTCAGGTTAAAAGGCAGGAAGGCTGTGATGCTCAGACAGAGGCAGCATATTTAGACTGCAGTAAGATTTTTCTTTTAAGGAGCTGTTTATCAGAATTAAACTGCTAGCATGAAGGTTTTTCCTTCTCATTAACAAAAATGTCTCTGTGGCTTAGCTGCTGAAACCTGTTGGGGTGTGAGATTAGCTTTAGTGGATGTCTGAAGCACGTGTTCCAGCTCTCAGGCACAGCTGGGGAGGGGGCACAAAGCAACATTGCTCTGGGTTTTCTTATTTTTAAATCAGAAATATGACAACTACTAATTATACTGAGTGGCAGTTACCACTACAAAACAGAAAAGTATAAACCAAAATAACCCCCCTGCTGTGTGGCTGTCCAGAAGGCAAATACACAGTGTTTTTAACAGCTTTTTGTATCAGACATTGCCTGGATGACAGGATCATCTTGTGCAGCTCTCAGGGAAGGGATTCAAAGCAGTAACACTGGCAACTGAGTTCCTTTTTTTTTTCCTTTTTTTTTTTTTTTTTCAGTTACAGGAGGTAAAATTAGAACACCATCGTATTTGATTGTAAATTTTAATGTTAATTGCGCACTTAACCAAAAGCTAATTATGCATTTCAGATGAGAGAATCATCTATTCCCAAGGCATCCTATTCCTGTCATGGTTTTGCTAAGTTCCTTGCAAGCACTGACTTTAGGCTTGAATGCTTGCACAAAACTTGTTTCTAAAAAAAGGGATAATAAGGTTCAGTAATTAAATGTATAGATGTGATAGTGATGGGTGTCTCTAAAGCACTAATGGGCCTGATTCTGCTTTCATGAACTCACAGTTGTGAAATCCTCTGATTTGCTGTTTAGATGAAGAACTAAAATGGAGAAATTCATGATAGTGAAAAGATCAGGTTGATCCTTGTGAGGGAGTCAAGGATTACATTTTATTTGCAGCATTAAGGACTTACTGGGTCCCAGGAATGCAAATCATTGTGGGTGAGTGGATGTAAAGCACTGCTTCTCATGCTAAAACACAATGCAGAATATTTCACTGGAGAAGAGATGCAGTAACAGTGTCTGTAATTCAATCCCAAGGTCTTGGTTATATCTCAAGTATTAACACTTGTGCTTTGAGAAGAACTTGGTGCTCATGCCACTCTGAATGGCTTTAAGATTAGAGTTGCAAGGGTGATCCGAAGGAGAGAAATAAAAACTTGACAAATAAGACAAAATGACTGATGGGTCAGTCACCCAGCTCACTGTTGAATTTATTGAACAGCCTAAGCTTGCTGAGCAGGGCATTGCTGTGTTTGCAGTCAGACAGTTGACATGGAGGGTTTAATTCTGTTTATAGTTAATCACCTCAATCTCATTGTTATCTCATTAGAACACTGCATTACAGTGAAGGCCAAATTCAACTTCAGCTATCCCTGCTGACAATACTGGATTTGCTCTCACTGCAGGTGTAGTATCTCTCTGTGCTCCCTCTTTGCAGAGTTGCTGTGCCCTTGGAGGCCTTGTTTTGTACATTTCAGTGAAATGAGACACGTTCAGAGGTACCAGGCTGTATCCAGGGGCAGTGTCGAGTGTGTGTTTGCTGATAAAGAGCTGTTGGTAGTTCAAAGGTTTGGACCTTTCCTAGAGAAAATAGACCAGTGCTGACTGTTTG